AGAGAGGAGCAGATGTCAGCAACTTCACACCCAGCCAAGCAAGGGTCCCAAGGGTCCCAGTGATTCTATTGGTCCATGCCACAGGCCACTGAGATTACTCCCAAGGCCTCCCCTCCCCCTTCCCAGACCAGTGTAATTGGAGGAGCAAGGGCTTCTTTGTCACCATCGTAACCTACCTAGTCCTCCTACACCCACCTCCAGACTTACGTGGCCTGGAGGAGCAAGAGTCTCCACTTCCATCTTTGCTGGGGAAGATAGTAAGGTAATTTCTACTTCAGATGTTTCCTTCGAGGAGGGAAGGTCAGACGTGTTACATCTAATAATGAGATGCAACCAAATCACCAGGGCCAGGTGGTGTCTTCAGGGTGAACTTGAAGAACCGTTGGCCGAAGGGTCTGCAAAAGGCTGCACCTTTAGTTGACAGAGGCCAGTTCAGAGAGAGAGAGTCCCCAAAAAAGGGGTGACAGTGCTCTGGGAAGTGTGTTTCCTGGCCTACTTTACTGATTATATCTCCTCTTGTGGAGACTGCCCGTTCTTACCTGTTCTGCTGAGGCCTGAAGTGCCTGAAGTGTTTTTCTTTTTCGTTGTTTCTGCTGTTGGAATTTGAACAGTTTGAGATTCACCATGGTCATTCCAATGACAAATTTATATTCTAGCCATTTCCATTTTAAAATAGAGCCTATGTACAGCAGATGGGCTCTTTCAAGGAACATGTGAGGCAGGAAGAGGGGGAAGAAGGGAGGGGGGATCCGCCCTTCTTCACGGATGGAGACACTGAGGCAAAACTGAGTTGTTCAATATCATCTACTGAACGGTGGCAGAGCTGAAATTAGAGCCCTGAACTAGTGACTCTTAGCCCAGTTGGCTGTGTTTCATATGATTATACTGGTTGATATTCTTCCTTGAGGTATTGATTTGTCTTCAAATTACATATTTATGGTTTGGGGACTACTCCACACACACACACACACACACACACACACACACACACACACACACATTTCTCCCAAATCCTTATGGAAACATTTTGTATTATTCGGGGGATGGGGAGAGGGACCGAATTCCTGTGCCACTGGTACCTTTGGAGATGCTGCCCAGGATCAGGCTGTTTTAGTTTCATACAGGACCATGAGTGCCACTGCAGTGACTGCTGTCCTGTTCCCTACCCTCCTTGCTTCTCCTCCCCCACCTCTGAACAATTTCCCTAAGGGCCTGCAGAAGGCACCTCACTCTCAGCTGGTCCCCAACACACTCCCTCGGTCCTTCCTCGCCCATGTCCTCCACCCTCTTGGTTCTCTATGCATGGGGCTGGGAATTTAATTATGGAATGCCATGCTTCTCAATTTGGGACAAAAAGGTGCCCTGGTACTTGGTCACCCTAGATAGACAGGATGCATCGTCCTAGAGTATCATGCTTCTTGAAAGACTTTTGTGAGAAGTGACAGAGGTTAGGTCATTGAACTGTTCTAAACTATTGTTTGCATGTGAGAGCATAGAAGAGGCAGTACATAATACAAAACACTGCAAAGTGGCAGCTTGGGCTTCTATTCCCAGATTTCCCCTGAGCAGGGCTCTGCACTGGTGTCACGGGGAAGGTGACAATGGGAACTGATCTCGGGAAGGAAGGGAAGGAACAGGTAAGCAGGTGGGGACCAAAAGGGAGCCCATGCAACCTGGTGGTCGAGAGCCCAGGCTCTAGAGGCCAACGTCTGGGTCCAGCCCGTTTCACTACTGTGTACCTGGATTACCAGGTGAGCTCCTGAGCCTCTGTGCTCAACATGAGGTAATGTTGATCTTAAGGGTTTGCTTTCAGGGTTAGAAGGACTAGTGCACGTACAGAGCTTATGACAGCACCTGGCAGGTGAGGCAAGCTGAATTCACAGGATCCGTTACCAGCACCAGGGTCAGAGGGCTCCTCAGGAAGCCATTACAGCACTGGGTTTGCTTTTTTTTTTATTTCTAGAAATGAGCTGGGAGAGGGAGTGGGCATAAAATTACCAAGTGTGCCCTGAAGACCGAGGGATGGTGACTTGCTGCTAACAGATCAGCTAAAGGCTGAGAGTCTGTGACTCTGTGAGCAGGAGGAAGATACATGAGCCCCAAAGGTGGCTGGCCTTTCCTTGGCGCTTTCCCCTTGGCAAGTTAACGCTTGCAAAACAGGAGCTCTCATCTGCAGTTGTGTTTATTTTGAGTTGGATGTTCAATGAAAAAAATGAATCATTTCAAATATTCTTATCAGCAGACAAAAGCTTTACAAACAATGGGGAACACAGTGCGAAATGAGGGGGACCGACCACTTCGGTAATCTCATGTGGCAGTTCTGGTGTATGATGAGCTCACATTTCATGAATGTACATGCACTGGGGTTAAGACCAGAAAACAACAACAACTCAGTCCTGAAAGAGTGTGAGTTGAAGGAAGAGGCCAGTTCTGTGCAGATGGGAGCATTCTTGTTGAGTGAATGAAATACGAAACTAGGCTACACAGGTAAGAAGGAAAGAGAAACAGGAGGTAGAACTAGGCTCGGCCCCATCTCTCCTCCCCACCCCAGCTCTGAGAATACTTTCTTTGTTGAGAGAATACACCTGAGGTGAGCCTTCTTCATTCCTCCTCCACTTGAATCCAATTTGCTGGTCAGGTAAGTTCTTCCAGGTGCCCCAGTGGGAATAAAGCATCCACCATTAACTCAGACTCCCACAGGAAATCAAAGCTTTGCCCAGGCCCTTTCACTGAAAAGAAAGAAATGAAATGGACCCTGCCCTCAGAGGTGCCAGACGAAGCCCACAGGAAAATATTTGGATTCCTTAGACACGAAACCATTTATTTTTGGTTCATTTGAGTATTTATAGCAGTGTACACGTAACACATTTCAATCCACATGAATAGTTCCCAATTGTGGGAGCAAATTAATCTTTTACAAGCTACTCAGCAATGAGGTTTGAAGATAAACAGTGGCTGAAATAGGATACTCTCCCCTGTACATGAACCTTCTTATTACAGTAAACTCCTACTTTGGAGCTCACCACATCCAACGACTGCCACTCTCTCCGCTGATGTCGCAGCCCCAGCTGCTCCCTGCCATCTCTGCCCTGCTGAGGGAGTTGTCTGATCAGCCACCTCGGTGGGACATGCTGCCATTTTCAGTTTGGAAGGAAAAGCCTGCAAATCTGCTTCCTGGGAAGACAGACATTGCTGAATTGTTATTGGCCTCCAGAATGCAGAAAACGTCAATTTCATTGCAGCTCATCAGAGCTGGAAACACCTGCCACTTCCTTTCTCAGTTGCAATTAACATGCTGCATCTCAGCATTGATTCCAGGCAGCCCAACACTGCCAAAGTCAAGGTTTAAATGAAACAGTACAACCTGATATTATTTTTCACAGTTTCAGAAACATGAACCTATCCATGTTTTTATTGCCAAAGAAGCACTGCAATCGTTGGGGGATATATGTCTTTATGCTTGAGAAAAATGTGAGACTAGGTTGGTGCTTATAATAAAAATAGTTCTTTATCTTTGTGTTTGGGAGTGGTACTTATCTTTGTATTTTTTGTGGGTGGAGTGTAGGAACCACCTTTTTTCTATATCCTAGCACCTAGCACAGGGCTGCAGAACCCCATGGGTATTTGAAAAATGTTTATTAAACATAAATAAGTGGTTTGGGAGAGCAAGCTTAAGAGCTGTCCTGTTGGTCCAACTTATGTAAAATTCTGGACTTAGAACTATCATGAGCCCTTTGGTTTAACTTAGAAGCTTGTGAGGCTGTGAAATATGACCCGAGGCTGGGACTTTCTGTATCAGAGTCCTAAATTTTTCAGACTTGATCTCAAGTGTTCTGTCATGAGACAGTGAAGGCTCTATCTGTTTTCATCATAATCCTACTGTCTTTAAAATGTGCGGTACTACACATTTTGAGCGTCTTAGAACCTTCTCTATTGTGAAGAAGGAATGAATCATTTGAAATAGTTCAACAGCCACAGCCTTTGCGTCATCTTGAAAATGATCATTAAAATAGTTTCCATATACTGGTAAAATGGAAAGCTGGGTTAAGTAGAAGCCTGCTGAGTATGAGGTTTAAATTTTAACTTGGCCAGATAAGACATAGCCTTAAGCCACAGAACACGGTCTTTGGAAGAGAAAAGAAACTAATTGCTTCTTTCAGCTATTAACAGAATACTAGGGCCAAGAACCACCTTCTTTGTTGGCCCTCTTGGGAGAATCTTTCTTTTAGATGGAAATAGAACAAATCAAAATAAGTGGCAATTAATTCTTGTGAACAATAACAACTCAGGTACTACACAGTTGAGCATCGTCTGTTAAATGTATGCAGGCATCCGGGAGTACACTTGTATATAACTGACAGAAAAGATGGGGCTTGAATATTTCCACATATTCTAGAATGAAAACTGAAGTTATCCATCCCCTTCTTAAAGTCAATTAACATTCCTATGCAGTTGTTGTCTTACCTCTAAATACCTGATGGCTGAAAATATTATTTTGATTATCTCCATAAATCTAATACTATACAACTCACTGCCCCAAACATCTGGGTTACTTGTATATTAAATAGCTTATATACCAATATCTTAGTAATAATAGGTCTTCTCTAAATTATAACACCGGAAAACTAAATTATGAAGAAATCATGCTAGCAATTTCCACCAATTATACAAATAAATAAAAATAGATAGCCATAAGTGACACAGGTTTCATAAATAGATGGTAGATAGATAAATAGATAGGTAACTTGTGCATATTTCCTAATAATACTACGCAGGCACTAAAAGACATGATTCTGAAAGAAAGGAAAGGGACGGGAAGGGAAGGAAAGAGGAGGGAGATAAGGAGGGAGGGAGGGAATGAAGGGAGGGAGGAAGGACAGAAGAGAAGAGAAGAGAGGAAGGAAGGAAGGAAGGAAGGAAGGAAGGAAGGAAGGAAGGAAGGAAGGAAGGAAGGAAGGAAGGAAAAGGGAAAAAAACCCTACAACATTAGGAGCTTGATATGCCATGGGAAGGATGCATTTTAATACCACTCAAAACATTGGCTGACTCCAGGAACCCAGTTACACTGCTAATTGTCGGCTTGTTAGCTGGCCAGTTCGGGGTACACAGACAGCATCTAAGAAAGAAATGGCTCATGGGTCAACTTATGTTGAGGAAAGTTAGGTGTCCAGTCACAGCCAACTGTTGCAAAGCACCTTTTGTCCACTGACACATTTAAACACTTGCAGAAATGAGATAGGCCAAACACACAACAAAGGAGTTCTTCAGTCTGTCTCTGGTCAACGACAGGCCGAATCTTCAAAGAATCCCATTGAGGGAAAACAATCAAATAATTTATAACAACAGGTCATCATTTTGAAATCTTTCCTTTGATTCCATATGAACCATCCAAATGTGCCAGGAGTCCCATGTCAGTGCACAAACTCCATCTCCCAGCTTTCTTTGCACGTTGAAAAATGTCATAAAACAAATCCATGACCCAATCTAGGATTTGGTAAATGGGGTCACTGCACTCAGCTTTTGACCTTGAAGTCAGAAGTGGTTTTGTCCTTGTCCTGTGCAGTTCCTGGGCAACTCCTGCAGGAAGTCTGAGAGACACCTCTCTGTTTGGACCTAAAAAGACCACTATGGGGATGGAGACTTGCCTTGGGCCACTAGTGTGTTTTTAGTAGCAGCACCAACCTTGCCCATATTTTATCAACAGATGAGTTTCCCTTTTTGCCATTACCAACAGTTATAAATAAGCACTTCAAAATTATTCATCTTCTAAAAATGATTTTCAGTATGTTCCAGGGGCCAAAGGAGCAGTGCTCTGAGAATAAAAAGTGTTTCTGAGCCAACACTATTTGGTGAAAACTAACAGTCTTGCTGATATATGGGGTTAAGGTTTTATTTCCTTTTTTAAAAATAAAATTAAGGCTCAAATGTTCTATTAAACTCTCATTGCATATGTATATTATATTAAGGCTTATCAATACACCTGGTAAATTAAATTCACCGTGGATTGAATTAACACCTGCTATATGAGTTATTTGCTTTCTGTCATGAGTAATCTCAAGGTTTCTCCCCTTTCTCTGGAAACACAATTTAAATATTAACTTAATATTTAAACTGCTGCTGCTACCTTCTGACATTTGGAAACCAGTCATCCATGCAAAAAAAGGCAAATATGGATATATTAACAAAAAGGCAGCTTCTTTCAAATCTTAAGACGTGTAACTCAATGAATTGGGAAGACAAATGATAAAAGCAGCAGGAAAGTCAATCTCCGGGTCACTTTCTGGGGAAAACAATGCTGGTCACCTGCCAAGCCATCTCCAATCAGAGAGACCGGCTGAATTCGATTGTCAATTTCAAAAGCATCTTTGTATTTTCTTCATTATCATCTCTGGACGGATCTAGGTAAGCTGTAGCAGAGATGACAGATTTTTAATTTTTAAAAACATATTGCAGCCGGGTGTCACTGAAGTTGCGGGTATGACAAATCCTGCAAAAGGAGCTAGGAGTGTGTGAGGTGGGCTTGGCTGGATTCAGTCTTCAGCTTGCTTCAAGGCAGAGGGGCCCCTGGGCCTGTTCACGTCCTGCTCAGCTAATAGCCCCTTAATATGAAGCTTTCAAAGTGCTGGTCTTCAGCCTTTTCTTTTATGCGTTGTTCCTCTAAGGAATTCACAAGTCTGTCCCTCTGCTCAATCACTTGCATCATCTCGTTGAATATTTCTTTCTCCTCATTTAGATCTTTCTCATCTTTCTGGCTCTCTAAAAACAAAGAAAGGAAGAAAACCATTGGCCGGCAAGTAGGATTTGGCCCCAGGAGAGCTCTGAGCCTGGGCATTCTTGATTGTTCTGGACTTGTTCTGCCCTTTAATTTCCACAGAGAAAATAAGAAAATGAATGGAACACCAGGGATCCAACCTCAACACCACTGATTAGAAAGGTGGGTGCTTTGTGCAACTGTTTCCATCTTGAGAATATATACAAAGTGACAGGGGAGGACCACTTTGTGAGAAAAAGAATATCAGCCAAGCCCTACCAAGTCCTCCAACCTCCCCTCCCTTGCAAAAAACAAACACAAAACCCCCACAGAACAACACAAAAGCTGTTTTCCCTAAACATTTCTGAGCTACAGCAAGAAAAGCTTCTAAGTAAACTGTCTGCATCAATGGCTACTATTGCAATGATGAGAATCCTTTTTTTCATTTGTAGTGAATGACAAATGGTAGCCCTTTGCATAGAGACCAGGCAGAAGCAGAGTGAGGCTCTGGCTGGTTGGTGGACATCTTCAGACTGTGACTATGTTTTTCAGAGTATGTGACCTTCCTAAATAGCCAGAGACATCCAATTGCCTGGGGCGATAAAATTGTTATAAAAGCAAGGGAAAGAGTAAGAAACAGGTACTGTAGTAGTGACTTTTTGACATTCAAAATAGGATTTTAAAACCAGATTTATGTTTTGTCAACCAGGTTTTGTCAACCTTGGAGAGGACTTCATAAATTCAAAGGAAGGCTAACGAGCCCCTTGCATTTAACACATGGGGGACTGGGTGATGAGCCCAATCCCAGAGTAGAGGAGGTGCCCCTGACTCTCAAATCAGGTTAAGTTCTGAGGCAGGGTCAGGACGAAGGTACCTATGACGACAGAAATAAAAGAGTACCATTCCCTTTGCACCTTATGTTTTATGGGAGGGTGGGAGCCTTGCCTATGCTCGTCTCTCCATTCTGGGTCTTAGAAGACCTCAAGTGGCAGGAAATGTCCTATCATTTGATGGGAACACTGGGGGCCCAAGGACTCTCTCCCTGCTCTTCTATCGGAACCCTGGGAAGAAGCCAGCTGCAAGGATGCCCTGTGTGTAAACATAGGGTAGAATGCTGTGGTTGGGCATTGAAGTAGAGAGTGAGTGTGACTGCCCAGGCCTCCATCTTCTCTGTGTGGCATGGATGGAGCCTAGCAGTGTTCACTTGCCCCAGAGCTGCCAAAGGTAGCTGGCCAGTGGGCCTGCCCTGGGGTTCCCCCATGATGAGGAGTGAAGTGGCTCCCCAGTGGAGACTGTATTGTAGAATGCTTGAACAAGCTGAATGGAGTATGTGCTGAGGAGAGTCTGAGTAAGCCAGGGACCACCACCAGGCTCCAAGAATGCCGAGAGAATGGCTGGCTGTGGATTACGCCAGCCACACACCTTAGCTGCAAATGCCAGCAGAGAGAGTGGCAGGCTAATGACAGGAGACAGCTGTGTGGGGACTCAATGAATCAGTGCAACCCACTTAGATTCCTAATGCCAAAATCACACAAACCTGCCTCTCCCCATTACCTGGCAGTCACTTTAGGGAGAAAAGCAAAAGGAAGGGGTGGCCATCGGCAAGACTGAACATTTTCATCCCAAAGAGACTATGCATTTCCTTCAGGGACTGTTTAAAATATTGCATCAGACTAAGTTTACCAGAGAGGGATAAATAAAGTCCTATTTTTTTTTCTAATTAATGGGATGAAGCTTTTGTGGAAGATGAGCCCAGCTACAGAAGACGAGATGAAGAAGCTACACTCCTTAGTAAGAATTTTTTTAAAAAGAATCGAAGGTGGCTAACAGAGTCTAAAAAATATCAGGTGGTATTTATTTTATCACTTGGAAACAGAGCTAGTTAAAAATTGTATCAGGTGTGTACATCAGATATTAGTTATACACTATGGTTTATTAATTTAGGTATATTCCAGAATTGGTGTTCCTTATTTGATAATCAATACAGAAAAAAAATTTAAATTCCTCTGTTAATTTGGCTTGTCATTATTATACCCACCTGAGCCCCTTCCAACAAATAAAAGATGTATACTACTGTCATCTGTCCTGTGCAGTGCAGCTAGGTAAGGATTTTGTTAGAAATAGAATTCTGTTGCTCTAAAGAAACAGTCTACAAATCACTACTGATCTATATATGGGGAAAAAACAGGAGACCCTGAGTGTGTGGTGATCTGGCCTTTAACCTTAGCCACATCATGTACCTTGGGCATGCTTTTAAAGTTCTCAGACTTAGTTTTCTAATCTGTAAAATGGGGATGAAATACCTAAAAAGAATATTCATGATGATGATGTCTAATATTTACTAAGTGCTTGCCCTGCACCAGGCAAGCCCATGGGTAGGTGCAGTGTTTGGTCCATAAGTATAAAGAAATCATTTAATGTGTCCTTTTAGACCTAGATTATAGTGTAAGAAAGCTAGGCAGGGACCTGGCCCCACAAACACACAGGCACAAAACAGAGTGAATATAATATACTTAGCTGGCGGGAGCCAGTGAATGTATGAATCAGAGTATTGTTTCAATCGGGTTTATTTCAATTCTCTGTCCTTTATGGTGAAAATAGTCTTCTCACGTGTGATGCCCTGGCCCCGCCCATGCTGGGAAGGATGTCTCCTTTACCATCTCCTCTGCCATTACCTCTCGCAGAGCACCTATGTCGTGGCCCTCATCTCACTGGATGGTAATTACTTATCTGGGTGTTGGTCTACATAGTAAGTCCACAGGGCATAGTTGATCTCCATATGCCAGAGCCACACTAGATGCTCCCTGAATATTTGTTAAATGAATGGGTGGATACACGAATGAATGCGTGAATAAATAACTTTGTTCCCATTCGCACTTGGGATGGAGCAAAGCGCTGCTCTCACCACCCAAGTGAACAAAGCTAAATGGGGATCTGCTGGGCTGGTGTTGGGCAGAGGAAGGCTGGCTTTGCACTCTGCCTTGACTCCCAGGCGGGAAGGGCACTCTGCTCTGCGATTTTCAGAGTGCTCTCCTCAAGTGTTTTTCCGCGGGGGAGGAAATTTCTTTAACAAGGACCTAAAACATATCACCGTACTCACCCTCCTTGAGCATTTTCTCTCTTAATTTCTGCTCCAGTCTGCTTTGATGATCTTCTAATTCTAGTTCTTGGGCCCTGGGGGTGAGAAAATGTTCAAACTCTGTAAATACTAGAGATCTGTGTGACACATTAACAAATATACCCATTGACAGTAGCTACTGCATTCTTTTTTCTTTATTAAAACTGGACTCTTGGACTATCTCTAAACTGCAAGTTTTACTGCTGCTGGGGTCACTGATGGTGCTGAGAAGGGTTGCTGAGACATGCTGAACTCGAGATGATGGGGAGCAGCTGAAGGTTGTGATGTGACCTCAGGAGGAATTTGGAAGGTTACTCAGGACATCCTTTAGAGATGGATCATGAAGAAATGACTAGAATAGTCCAGTGGGGAAGCAACAACAATCTGGAGCTCTTATGTCTTTGGGGGGAGGGGCAGGGGCAACATGATTTTAAGTATCTCCTCTGACCGCTCCCAAATCTCTGATTGTGGTGGACAAGAAAATGAGAAGGCAGAAACAGGAGTGGGACATCTTGTCTAGGTGGAGGCAGTAAAACTCGGACCACTATCTGGTTGTAGGAACTGTGGAAGGGAGGGCCAGTGATGCTTGGGGTAGTCAAGTGACAGTGCTGGGAACTTGGTCTTCCCATTGATAAGAACAGCAAAGTCAAGAAATGAAGTTAGTCCTCGGCGAAGGTCAGTTTGGAACTTTCTGACCCTTCCATGCCTACGGATATCCCATGTGTATCACCCCCACATGCTGGGCCATGTAGCAATAGGGAGGTCCCCAAACCTTTGGGAAGGCAGCTCTGAAATTCTCAGGAAAGATGAGAACCACAGACAGAGCAGGTAGGGGGTCAGAGGTGATAGGAAGTCATGTGAGCCCTAAAAGGGAGACTCTAGAGAAAGAAAAGTTTTGAAGACATAAGTTTGGGAATGCCTACATTTAGAAGCCAAGCAAAAGAAGTGGGGCCAGGGAAGAAGCAGGCAAAGGTTGGAAGGATAAAGCAAGACATGCAGCATCACGGAAACTGAGAGAGGACATTTGTGAGAGAGGTCGAGGGTTTTCACTGCTACAGCGACATTGAAGAGGGTGAGGGCTGAGACTAGGTCCCTGGGTTTGACATGGTGGGGCCCTCCCTTCCAGCCTCATCTGCAGCCTGCATATGTATCTGCTACTGTGTCGAGGTCACTTTGCTGTACCCCATTGTTGCTGTCACTATTTTTACTGCTTCTCCCACTACTTGGGGCAAGGTCCCTGCCTTGTTCAATAGTCTACCTTTTGCTGTTAACACTGAGCTTCTCTTGGCCCAGTGTGGTAGCCAATGGGGTTGAGTCACTCAGATCTTCCTTTAAGAGAGAACTTTCTTAAAGGCGTATCGTGAGCTGACCGCGGCTGCAGAAGTCATTCGGTGTCATGCTGAAGCCGAGCCGTCCCTGTGCAGGTCCCAGCCAACGACTGAGTACAGTGGCGGCACTAGAGCTGGGCCACTCCTGCCCAACTCTGGTCTCCTCTGATGGGCAGTCTCTGCTCTGGCGTGCCCACCGGCCTGACGTAGACCGTGTCAGGGCCACACTGCCACCTGAGGCTCCTCCTGCCCAAGTCCCCTTCCTCGCCCCTCTGCTTTCACAGGTGTCAGGAACGTAGTGGGGTCTGAGATTTCCCTCTTGCTCCTGCTGCCTTTCCTCTTCACTCTTCACAAGCATTCCCCCCAGTATATCTCTTGTACGTCTAATTCTGTCTTGGCACCTGCTTCCCAAAGAACCCAGGTGGACATATCTCTTGTTCATCCAGGTCTTTCTCCAAACTAAAACCTATCCTTTAACTGGCTCCTGCCTGCCTTTGTCTAGCTCACATGCATGAATTCTT